AGCCCTTTCTCAAGTAACTCTCTAGCCATCTGGTAGTCATGAAACAATCGTGACAGATTTGCCAGGTTTCCGTAGCAGCACGCTTCCATCTTTCTGTGGCCAATTTCTATACTGATGGCAAGTGCTTTTTCAAAATGGTCCTTAGCTTGCCTATTTATACGAAGTGATAGAAACGCAGATCCAAGATTCGCAGAGTAAGTTCCTTCCCCTTCCCTGTCGCCAATTTCTGTTGCGATAGCAAGAGCCTTCTCGTAATATTCTTTAGCCCTCTGATATTCACCGAGCGATTGAAACACAGTTCCAAGCTGCCCATACCATGTCCCTTCTCTTTTCCTGTCGCCAATTTCTGTTGCGATAGCAAGAGCTTTCTCGTGATATTCTTTAGCCTTCTGATATTCCCCGAGTGATTGAAACACAGCCCCAAGGTTCCCATACCTTGCCCCTTCTCCTTTCCTGTCGCCAATTTCTGTTTCGATAGCAAGAGCTTTCTCGTGATATTCTTTAGCCTTCTGATATTCACCGAGTGATCCAAACAGAGTTCCAAGGTTCCCATACCTTGTCCCTTCTCCTTCCCTGTCGCCAATTTCTGTTGCGATAGCAAGAGCTTTCTCGTAATAGTCTTTAGCCTTCTGATATTCACCGAGTGCTTGAAACACAGTTCCAAGGTTCCCATACGTGGTCCCTTCTCCTTCCCTGTCGCCAATTTCTGTTGCGATAGCAAGAGCTTTCTCGTGATATTCTTTAGCCTTCTGATATTCACCGAGTGACTGAAACACAGTTCCAAGGTTCCCATACGTTGTCCCTTCTCCTCTCCTGTCGCCAATTTCTGTTGCGGTAGCAAGAGCTTTCTCGTGATATTCTCTAGCCTTCTGATATTCACCGAGCGATTGAAACACAGTTCCAAGTCTCCCATACCTTGTCCCTTCTCCTTTCCTGTCGCCAATTTCTGTTGCGATAGCAAGAGCTTTCTCTTGATATTCTTTAGCCTTCTGATATTCACCTAGTGATTGAAACACAGTTCCAAGGTTGCCATTACAGGTCCCTTCCCCTTCCCTATGGCCAATTTCTGTTGCGATAGCAAGAGCTTTCTCGTAATATTCTTTAGCCTTCTGATATTCACCGAGTGATTGAAACACATTACGTAGTGACGCTATTTTATATCCAAAATATTCAGAGGAACCTACCAAAACAACATATTTCTTTTCATATAAGCCAGTCACTAATGATATTTTATCTTTCTTAAAGCCCTGACATCTGTTTCCGCATTCCTGATATTTGTTATTTGGATTCTGAAAGGAAGGTAAGGCTCAAGGTAAATAATGCGAAGACAAGGGCATTTGTTATAAAATCAAAAGTACGAAAAAAGGGGGAGACCTTATCTCCCGGTTAGCT